AGTAGCTAGGAAGAGGCTGGGTAATGGCGGTCAGGTAGCGCAAGCTTTTAGCCTAGCATGAAGTCCTCCTTGCCTGCTCCGTTTGCGTCTCCATCAAATTATTCAAGGTTCCGCGACCCAGTTCTGGATAAGCGGAGGAAAATGGATGGATGGAAGGTTCTTAATGTTGGCCAATAAATTCAGAGAAGAGCCAGTTGTGATGCCTAAATTCTAAGAGTACCATTTTACACTGTAGTCTCAGAAACTCCAGCTGAATTTTTAAGCACTCTCACAGCAAATAAAAGTACTTCTGTTTTATTCTCATTTAACAAGACAATGTTTTGAGACATTGAGCTTTTCATAGAGTCCATGCAGTCCCTTAGGTGGAAATAGTTTGCTGAAATTGTCATGTTTGATAAAGAGTGTCATAAGCATAAAAATGAAAAGTCATATGGTAGCATATAAATAGAGGGATAAAATAGGGCCTTTTTAGAAATTTGGGAGGAATGCAATTATATAAGGTGGAAAAATGTGATCTGAGGGAGCCATTTCAAATTTACTATGGTATTATTATTATTATGTTTTCAGAGAGTCGCAACAACAGTGTCAGATGTGAACCATAGTGATACAGGACCACAGCAGGTCATAAAGCACCAAAAGTAGAACAAGGTAAAGGATTTTAATTTTATTTATAAATTAAAATTTTGGACAAAATGAATTTTATCTATTTGATTTCAAACTCATTTTTTTAATGCATGCACTTTAAAGATTGCCTGCTCTGTGGTCTCCACTTAAAATCCATTTTCTCTCATCCTTTGTTGCATATTTTGAAGATTTAAAATATGTTGACTTTTTTTCTCAATTGAGAAACAAATATTAATTTGTGTCAATTGTTATACAGGTTGGCAACCATTCAAGAGAAGGATGTGGGAGAAAGAGGAGATCCTTGCTGTGGAGAAGCACAGGATGCCCTTCATTACTTGTCGTGTTCCAGGGAAGCACAACTGCGATAAGTACCTTGAACTTGAAAAAGTAGCACTCAGAAACAGAAAATGGTTGGCCATAAAGTTCTATATTAAGAATCGAATAACATCTCCTAAAGAACAAAGCTTAAAAAGGTCATTTAATGCCCTTTGACACTGGTTATGCTTGTTGACACGTTTAAGCATATTCAAGTATATTTCATACATTAGTTGCCCCAGTAATTTGCAGTGAAAGGTTTGTTAGATACTGTTCAGTTTTGTTTAAAATGATTAATTTTGGAAACAATTTGAGTGCTTTTTTTATGTAGAGGATGGCTTGGTAAAGTTTTGGAAATAACAGTGAGAGGAGAGCTTACTTTTGCTGACAAATACCAACACAATACTTTTTTAATGACTGCAAGTAATGTTTAGTCTTATTAAAGAATAAAATTGGTAGAATTTTGACTTAATAGCAGAAACCATGATCAGAGAAGTCATCAAGATTATGAGTCTGACCACATATTTGATGTCAGCTTTCAGTACCTGGCAGTTTTCACTGCCTGGTGATAAAGATGTGTTCTGTCAGTAGCAAAAAAAAGTAACTTCTGATACCAGCCCATTAAAACAGATGACAAGTTGAATGTAAGTGGAACTTGTAAACACTCAGTAAATTTGAGTTTAGGCCTCAGTTAAAATAAAAGATGTATTAAACATTTATTGAACCACCTCTCTTTTATTTGGAGCAGCCTCTGTTAAATTCAACCAAGGAAATTAAAAGTACAAGATTGTACAACTAAAATGCACCAGGTGTGTAGATAGATGAAACACTCAAGTTACTCAAATAAAATATTTTATAAAACATATAATTTTAAACTTTTTTATTTGTATTCCCATTGTATTCATATATCCTATTCTAACATTTTATCAATCTGATGTTGTCATTGCTAGTACTTATGTCCTGTATCTTTTATAGCACTAAATACTAGGTGTCATATGGTAGCCAATTCTAAAAATATTTAAAAAAAAAAAAAAAAAAAAAAAAAAAAAAAGAAAAGCAACGTCCTGCAGTGTCATCAGGTCCAAAAAAAAATCAGATCCCACTTTTCACACAAAAACAAGGTTGATAAGACCATACTCTGTGTTTTAATGCCTTCAGCCATTCAACAGGTCCCAATGCTGAGCCAGTCACAGGCCAGACCACGGTCACTACTGCTACACAGACCTGGCTTCACTTACTACTTGAACTGGTTCAAGTTTCTTATTCCTTTCCTTTTCTTTTTTTTTCTGAGGCACCCAGGAGACTCCCAAAGGTGCCAATCCCACCAACCCTGCACTAGCAGCAGACTCGCACACGTTCAAAAATGTAACTCAAAACATTTCAATTAATAAGTGACCCAGGACTGCTATGAATACCCCCAGTTACTAGTTGTTAAGATCCAGCAGAAGGCCTCACTTTGACAGTCATAGGTGTTAAGTGGTTCTCCAAAGTAAGTTTAACCAGAATCTGTGTTTTGTGGTACTCAGGAAGAAAGAAAACCCTGATAGTGTGTTTATGATGACCTCACTTATAACTAAAAACCTGAAAATCCCCAGGAAGCTCTTCCTAGTCATGTCAGGGAACTCTACTTTGTCTGATTAAAAATTTGAAGTGATCGCTCTGTTTATGTCCACTCCAGGATGCTACCTGATTTTTTACAGAGTTGTACAACCTTCAGAAAGGGTGGTTCCTACAATGAATGAACTTGTCCGGTGTCCCTACAATGCCACAAAGACAAGGATGTGTGTGTAGGTGTGTGAGAGAGAGAGAGAGAGAGAGAGTAGTCCTACGGTGTGTGGGGTGTTGTGTGGGGGGGGGGGGGGGGGGGGGGGGTTGCACTGTTTGACTTTGACTTAATGCATTACTAAGACAAATTAGGATAATAGTCATTTTTTGGAACTTTGTGTGAAATCAGTGAGAAAGTATTATAACATTTTACTACAGAGATTCACTTCAGAAAAGGACCATGCCGTGGCCTCAGTTCAGCTGGAGGCCGTGCCATCACGTTACCATCCCATGTGCTGTATTATATGAAAGTATTACATGATCAGCATCACCCTGCACATCACCTGTTCCACCTGCTGCCCTCTGGGAGGAGATACAGGTCCATCCGCTCCAGAACCACCAGACTGGCCTGCAGCCTCTATCCTCAGGCAGTGAGGCTACTGAATGAACAGCCCTCCCTCTCTCTGTCCCCCTCCATCACCACATATCACACTCCACCACTGCAGTAACTGTGAACTAGACTTTGCATTGTTGCAGCTCTCACACAGCATCTTACTCATCTCAGTTTACTGCCTTGACCCTGCTGCTGAACTGTTGTTTTGTTGCACTAAATAGTACACAGGACATATTTTTTATATTTGGGAGGCACTTTTGCTTTGCTATGCCAGTATTAAGATGTTCAAACGATATCTCATTGTTATTTATAACTGTGTTATTATGACAATGACAATATAGTATTGAATTGAATTGAATATTGTGATAAGCAAAAATCTGTAGAGATGCACAGTATTACACTGTGTTTAAGAATCATGATTGTCAATGAAGGATTGTGCCAAAGACCTCATTTATCCTATCAGCACATGGGATGGTAACGTGATGGCACGGCCTCCAGCTGAACTGAGGCCACGGCACGGTCCTTTTCTGAAGTGAATCTCTGTAGTAAAATGTTATAATACTTTCTCACTGATTTCACACAAAGTTCCAAAAAATGACTATTATCCTAATTTGTCTTAGTAATGCATTAAGTCAAAGTCAAACAGTGCAACCCCCCCCCCCCCCCCCCCCCCCCACACAACACCCCACACACCCCTACTGTTAATTACGTAACTCGGGGTTTAGTCGATTTGTACGTTTGATCAGTAATAAAGTAATCTGCCAGACTAAGATTTTTAAATGTGAATTTGCAGTTGATTTGCAAATAAATTTTAAAACTGGACTTTTGGGCAGAACTATTTTCATAGCTACTTAAACCGAGGTGAAATTGGTTTGAAGTTGGTTGTTGACACATTTTCTTTTCACAAGACCTCCATGCAAGCGAACAATGTCCAGTGCTGTCTGAGTAGGACAACGGCACCTCACCTACCCTGCACATGGCTGTATTAAGTTAGGGACCATCTGTAAATTACTGTCCAACTGAAAAATGAGATAATGAGAAAAATCACACATAAACTTCAGTAGTTTCCACCTCCTGTGAGATACTGGTTAAAAACTATTCAAAATTATCTCTCCACATGTTCCACAAAGGGCACACCTTTTATATTAGATCTTAATATTTTTTGGATGTCTGATTTTGACCCCCACCCCTCATGTCCGGGGTAGGTGAGGTTCCGTTGCCCTACTCAGACAGCACTGGACAGGGTTTGGTTGCATAGAGGTCTTGTGAACCGAATGTCCAACTTCAGACCAATTTCACTTCAGTGCTACTTGAAACGTAGCATATAAAATATTGAGACCCGGCCTAAGGAAGCCTCGTTATCCGTCAGTCCGATTCCCATTCCGATACAGCCGCTAAAGCTGAGAATTAAAACATTTTCCATCTATAATGAGTGTCTAACATCCCAGATTTAAGTAACAGGCTGCACAGATCATTCGAGCAGTGCAGGCGCAGTCTGGCTCAGTCCAGCATCAGATCCCTTTGTTAAAACAGTTTGGCGTGACGTCTCCACACAGAGCGCAGTGTATCAGAGTAAGAGAGGAGAGGGAGGGGAGAGGAGCTTGGGAGCTTACTACAAACTACTACCACAGTCAGCTGCCTCTTCATTCATCTCCTCCTTTGTGCACGGACAGCGCCACGCGCCATGGCGCCCCGACGGCACCCCCCGAGCAGCTCGGCCGCCGCGGGAGCTCCGCGTCCCCACTACGGTGAGTAGGCTCCCAGAGTAGCGCGCACGGCTGACTGATTCCCTGGCCTTAAACGGGCATTTGTAAGCAATGGACACTTTTTAAATGCAGTCAGAATACAACCGTGTTTGACATCTTAGCATATGATATAATATAGCATTATAACCAATAGTTTAGTTTAGTTATTTTTAACTGATTACAACCAAAACAGAAACCACAGCTTACAGGTATGGATCTGGGTATTTGTGCGGTAGTTTTTACTTTAGTCCCCTTTTTATTTATTTTGAGTTTGTTTTTTGTTTTGTTTTTTACAAAACAATGCACATGCTTACATTTTTGTTCTATGATGGGGGTTCGTTTTACACTGAAACCCAAGCAGCACGCTGATGTTAGGATCCTTTGTTTCTACAGGACTTTAGTGGATACACTCACCATCTTCTTTATTTAGACATTTTTATGAACACCAAAAGCCAAAGATAAGATTCTATTTTGCAAACCACCTGTGCTCTACTATGGCTTCTACTGTTTTCATTATTAGTAAAGGGTGATTTAGTCATGAGGGCATCGTCACTCCTGTTGTAGCCAACACTGACCATCTCAGAGGACACTGCTGGACGTGGTCTTCAGGTGGAAATGTAGCCGGTTTTGGTTTGTACATGGAGGTAGATGGCTAATGAGTAGTGTAAAAATAGCCAATGGCAACAAAGGTGTTCTTGTGTTGTGCTCTTTGTTGACAACAGAGGTGTTGTTTTGTTGCACTGAGTAGATTGTGCCTGTATTACTCAGCAGCAGGATAAAGATTAGCTGAGTATTATTGACCACTAATGCCATTAGCTGACCTCAGGTCTGTTTATCTCAGCAAGGATGCTTTTCTCTTGACTGTCCTCTTGTACATTAATTGCCTACTGTACCACTTTGTCAAATTTAATTTTAAAGATGTTGAATAATTGTTCCATATCAAACCAGTTGTGTTTTTTTTTTCATTTATTTATATATTAATAGCTAATCTGTCTATGCTTTCATACTGTGTAACTTGACAGAATCTTGAGGACAACCAGTCTGGAGATGATCTGGTATAAGACTAGAGTAAGGTGAGGCAAAGGTTATGGTTAAGGTTAGGGTCAGGTCAGTGTAAAGATGGTTACTTAGTTTACGCCAGTGTGTGTGTGCCAGCAACCTAAATTAACTGTACAGTTTGGGCAAATGCACCAGAATTGATCTGACTCAAACCAAACACATTAGCAGGGGAAGCACCCATAGACCGTGATAAGCATGAATATTAAAGTTATTACAGCAGGGGGATGCATCTCGAGACAATTTTATATTTTATTTATTCAAATTTGTGCAAAATCCTAGTTAATGCAGCTTTCAGTAAGTTACACCAGTGGTTAAAGGTCTCCCCCCTGTCTAGACATATGGTATAAACCACAAAATGTTTAGCTGGATCAGGGTGTGTTGCAGAGCACGATTAAGTCATGTTTGTCACTGCAAATGTCATCCTGCACCTGGAAATATACCCAGAATATTTCCAGCTTCTATGCTGTTTTTAACCAGGTGAAATCAGGCATTTTTATGGTGGTTAGATTTACATCACGTGACAAAGATACAGATTACAACATGCTGCGATCTAGAAAAACAGTGAGTCTGAGGTTTCCACAACAGGTTTCCGGCTTATATAAATTTCCTGTCATTAGACACAGTGGAGAAATGTATACATTTAATCACTTTAAAACACTTCTACTCACAGTGAGTAGGCGTGAAAGTAAACAGCGCGTCACCAGTGAGAATAAATTAACATCACAATATTCTGGTGCTCTTGGTGTTTGAATGTAAAAAAACTCTTCAGATGACTTACCTCAGTGTAAAAAATGAAATATAGGAAAGAAGATGTTATGATTTAACCTATGTGAACCCAACAGATGCAAAACATTGTGTAGTGACAAGGCTTTAGTAATGACAATGAGGTAGTGAAGAGGAAAATGCTCAAACAGGAAAACGAAGACGAGTATACACAAAGCAAAGGCAGACGAAGGACATGACCGAACAACACAAGAAACACAAGCAAACTATAAGAATGACACAGAGAGTAATCAACTCAAACCATCCCAGTGCATCAAGCAAGGAAAAGCTCAACCTGACTATATAATAATAATACTGCCAACAGGTACACTTTTAGGGAGCAATGTTTCAACTAAGAACAAAGGGTGAACAGCATAACTAGCAAAGTGAAACAGGTGCCTGAGTCAACCAAGTGCAGAGAATCAAGAGACCATAAATACCAGAGTTCAAAACAAAACATACAAACAAAACAAGGGGCCGGGGCCAAATAAAAGCAGGCAAGAATCACAGGTGGAGGCAAACGAACCAGCAAAAGGCTGACGGAGGAGAAGAGATGTTAAAGACCTGCCAGGCAGGGCTAATGAGCAACAGGTGGATGTCATGTAGGCCGATAAGGGGCAGAGTCATGCCGAGGCTGATGAAGGCAGCATGAGACAGCAGATACTGTATCTCCAGCATAAGTCCCAAAACAGGACGTCACCGGCTATCACGACAGAAGGTGTGTGAAGTATGGAAGTGCAGAAGGAAGCTGAAGTGACACACTCTAACGCATGCACACACATGTAGTGCACTGTACATGGTGTGTGTCTGTGGGAGTGAGAGAAGGAGGTCTTCCAGACTCCATCATCTATATACAGTATGTTACATAACTGATCTGCCACTGGAGGTGAGGGCTGTCAGCTGTGTGTGTGTGTGTCTGGTGGAAAAGGTGAAAGGAAGGAAAAGAGGTCCTCAGAGAGATAGCAGACACCTACACACACTTCTGTTTTCTCATTATACTGCAGAGGAGTCATGGAGCTGTATTAGTGCAAGCTGAGTTTACAGTTTGATTCACTGTGTCATAGACCCCAGTCCACTTTACAAACTCTCATTTCCAAAACCTAAAGATCCAATATAAAAGATTTAAAAATGTGTGAAAGATAGTTATTCATTGCATTATTCAAATTCATGCAAGAAATGAAGAGGAGAAAAACAACAACAACAGTTGTGTGAATTTCAGTTTTAGGTGCAAAGCAAAGTGTAAATTAACTGTGAGGGCTCCGTAGGTGGTAGTCTATAAATAGCACAACTCAAAGCTAAACACAGAAACTTTAAAACTGAAAACTGGAGCTGGTTGTATTGAAATGTCTGTTGTTAGGCAGTAAAGGGTGTGCACAGAAAGTTGAAAGTACAGGGTTATGCAAAAAGAATGAACCGACTTCATTACGCAATATTTTATTAAGGAAAAGTAATACAAAACTCCAGCCAAGTCACAAGTATTCTACTCACAATCAACTTTTATTTCCTGTCTTACAAGTGTTCAATGTGGCCACCACCTGCAGCGCGGGTAACATCAATGCGATAAGAGAATTCCTCCCAGGCACGTATTAGCATGTCACGATCCACTGAGTTGATCGCTGTTGTTATTCGATGTTTAAGGTCATTAAGCTCACATGCCATTTAAGCCATTCAAAATTTAGATAACTCCTCTTTCAAAGGGTCAGTGACTCATTCCAAAATGACAGAACATGGAACTTAATTAAAACAAAAATTTTTGACAAAGCCTGAATAGTATATAGGCTTTTTTGACACCTGTAAGGCAGTGGAGGGTGTGAAAACAGTTATTATATTATTTTACAATGGTGCATTCATACACTAATATCTAACTAGGACTGGAGGAACTAATTAAAATCACCATGCCTTCACATATCCCACTGCTGCTTATGTTTATCTGTCTATCTATATATATGTGTGTGTCACTTTAATACAGTAACTGTAATACTTTGAGAAAACCTGTTCTCATTAGTCATTTTTAGAACTAATTCGACTAAACAGAAAACTAGAAAACGTGCTCAGTAGAGCGTATGACTCCACCAGTGTGTACTGAGGCAGATTCATTCCACTGTAGCGTATCACTGTGGTCCTGGGTTTGAGCTTCATCACCATAAAGTGCCAGAGTTACAGTTAATGTCATTTACATTTATTATTTATATGCTCAAAAAATTGGTCTGTGCTGTTAAGTTTCTTTCATACCTGTAGGTGCTATTAAAGCTCACTCAGGCTTTCACATGGTGTGGAGTGATCTGACCTATAGAAAGTTTGTGATTTCTTTGATAGCTAACTTTATATTTGCAACCAGCTGTCACCAATTAAACAGCGTTCAATAAGACTGAGTGCATCTCCTTGGTAGAGGTCTGCACTCCACTGAGCACATTTCCTAGTACAGAAATGTACATGCCATGACCACCATCACCAGTACCAGATCAAGTATAAATGGATCATTTATAACTGCTGTTGCTGACCTGCATACTGTACCAAGCTGGACCCAGCTGTAGAGCTGACAACTGTTAATGAAAAGGTTAGTACACATTAGTCTGATGATGAGGTCATGGATTTCAGAAGGAACTAGGACTGAAGTAAAGTATGAAATAACATGAAAGAGGACTCCTGCCTCATGACTGCGTTGTTTTAAATAACTGAAGGTACGAACATATTTATTTAATGTTGCTGCATTATATAGTCTCTGGTGTGCTATAAATTTGTTGCTCTCAAAATGATGTTAACGTGTAGTGGGGTAATAAGAACCAAATATGATGCCAGGCTTGCTACTGGTTGAACGAATTAGAGGCCATAGCCTGACAAAGGCTCTTTGCCAAAACACATTGGTCTTCACTTTAAAGGTGTTCCAAACACTGTGAGTGTTGCTGGACATTTAATTTTCCTGTGGCCTCACAGTCCATCAATTACGCTCAACATTTATAACTCGCATTTTCATATGCGTGTCGTGTGATTTATTGGACGCTACAAACACATAACAAATAATTTTTTGCCTTTAAGCTGCTCCCTTTACAAATGCACCAATCACTGAGGAAAGGTTTTCATTCCAGGCGCTCCTCTCCCCCCGTTGACATGCCAGGTCTGTCACCAAGTGATATTCTGGGACCTCATAATTTAAAAATTAAGCAGTGCCTTAACTGTCTTGT